ATCAGATTGCTTACCTGGTATTTTATTCATATACATCCTTCTTATCTGCAATGTAATCTACAATTTCTTGTGGACACATTAACTTTTCTGCATCTGTATCAGGAGTTTCAAACCCAAATTCATCCTCCATGGCCATGATAATCTCCACTTGGTCCAGACTGTCTAAGCCCAGATCTTTCATAAAATGGGAATTTACCGAGAGCTTTTCTGGGTCAATCTTGTTGTAAAGTTTCAAGACATACAGAACCCGATCCTTGATTCCGTCTAACGTCAAAGGGGGTGCGTCGCTATACTGGCCGCACGGCTGTGGGATCCTCCCTGGCACCTGCGCGAGCGCCGAGGCCGGCTGCGTCGCCCCGGGCCTCGTCTGGGTCCCCGCGGGACACAGCGCAGTGCCGAGCGTCCGGGCCGGACACAGCGCGAGCACCCGGGGCGGCGGCGCGAAGGCTGAGGGCAGGCGGCGGACACAGGCGGAAAGGACACGAGCCGCCATGGCTACGCCGACCCAGGATGCACAGCGCCGCAGCTGCGCGCGCAGGGTTCCGGGCCCAGAGCGGCGCTGTCGGGAGCCGCCGGCGATAGCGGCCTCTGGCGTCTCCTGGAGGAACTGCGCCCTCGGGGCCGTGCAGTCCAGCCCCGGGTTTGCCGTCGCTCCCTAACCGCTAATCTCGCACCGAGGCCGAGGAATTTAGGTCTGTTTCTTCTAGGGGCAAGCTACCTACCTAGCAAGATATTGATTTAAATAAAAGCATACAGAACACTAACAGTGCTGCCTGAATAAACGACTCAATGATGCTTTCAGGTTTGTGTTGTCTTTTTGAGACGGGATCTCAGCTATGTAGCCCAGACTGGGCGCGAACTTGTGGCGATCCTCCCGCCTCAGCCTCCCAAGCGCTGGGATCACAGGCGTGCGCCACCACGCCTGGCCTGCTTTGTTTTTTTTTTACTTTTCTTAAATCCAGTTAAAATAGAATATGGCACTTTTTTTCTTTGTCAATAGTTCTAGGAGTTGAACCCCAGGGCGTTGTGGGTGCTAAGCAAGTGCTCTGCAACTGAGCTACGTCCCCAGACCTTTGTTTAATTTTATTTTGAGACACGGTCTTGCTCAAATGTCCAGATTGGGCTCAGTCTTCTGATTCTCCTACCTCAGCATCTTCAGTTGCTGGGATCATAGGTATGCGTCACCACCCGCACTTTTATGATGCTTTTAACTTAAAATACGATGCATCAAATGATCCCAGTGTTATAAAGTATTTCTCTTTTTGGATTCATTTAAAACTTTAGTTTCTGAAGCAGGCTTCATAGCACATGCTTCTCACTTCAGGTCCTGCGGAGGCTGAGGTAGGAGAATTGTGGGTTTTTTGTTGTTTTAAAAATATTTTATTAGCCGGGCGTGGTGGCACACACCTGTAATCCCAGCCTTTGGCAGGCTGAGGCAGGAGGTAGTGCATGACGACTGCAGTCTTTACCACGGGGAGTTGGCCCACGTATGCAACGCCGATCAGTTCTTCTTTAACCCCCTCCCCGCTCCCACCTCCCTCCACATCATTGTCCCTGTCCCATATGCAAAAGACTTACCTTGCTATTTCCTATTATTATCTCTTATTTTGATCTTTATTTATATTTTGGGTTTTTCATGTAAGAAAAACTATGCAGGGCTGGGGTTATAGCTCAGTGGCACAAGCATCTGCCTGGCAAGCTCAAGGTTCTGAGTTTGATTCCCAGTGCCAAAAAGAAAGAAAAAGAAAAAGAAAAACTATGCAATATTTAAGCTTACGTGTCTAATTCCACTCAATATTATGGTCTTCAGGAGCACCCATTTTCCTACAAATGACACAAGTTTATCCTTCTTTATGCCAGAGTAGTATTCCGTTGTGTATAAAGACTACATTTTCTTTATCCACTTATCTGTTGATTGGCATATGGGCTTGGTTCTAAGATACAGCTATTTTGAGTTAGGTGGCTCTAAATACGGGTATGCATGTACCACTGTCATATGATGTCTTTTACTCTTTTGGGAAGATATCCAGAAGGGGAATATTTGGGTCAAATGAAATTTCTTGTTTTAGTTTTTTAAGGAATCTCCATACTGATTTCCATAATGGCTGTATTAGTTTACATTCACACCAGCAATGTAGAAGGGTTCCTTACCCCTCAAGTCCCCACAGCCTGGCCAGCATTTGTTATCTGATTTCTTGATAACTATTTTTCTGATGGAAGATGTCTTCACTGATGTCTCTGGTTATTTGGGGTGGTTTTTTTTTTTTCTTTGTGTGATTTTTTTTTTTTCTTTTTTGGATTTTGAGACAGGGTTTCACTATGTAATTCAGGCTGGCCTTGAACTCGCAACGATCCTCCTGCCTCAGCCTCCTGAGTCCTAAGTTTAATAGGCTTGCATCATCACACCCAGCTGTCAGTGTTGTTTGAATTTGCATTTCTTCTTCTGAGATGTGTTTGTTCATTTCAGTTGCCCATTTTTGATTGGGGCTTTTATTTTTGAGTTCTGTATATATTCTAGATATTAGACCACTGCAAAATTTTTTTCCCATTCTGTAGGTTGTCTCTTCACTGTCTTGGTTGTTTCCCTTGCTGGGCAGAAGCCTTTTAATTTGCTATCAACCTGTTTGTTGATTCTTGGTGTTACAGTATTTCCTGTGCAATTGGGATTCTGTTCAGAAAGTCATTGCCTACAAGAGTTTTACCTGTTTTATCTTCCAGCACAGTAACTGTTTCTGTTTTAATATTTCTATCATTGATCCATTTTTATGTTAGTTAAATGCATGGTGAGCTACAGGTCTTCTGTGTGTGGAAAGTCAGTATTCCCAGCACCCTTTATGCAAGAGACTAACCTTCCCTCCAGCATGAGTTTTTGGCCACTTTGTCGAAGACCAGGTAGCTAAATGTGCCTGGAGCTGTTTCTACAACCTCTGTTCTGGTCCACTATCCACGTCTTTATTTCCCAGTACCATGCTGTTTTTATCATGGTAGCTTTGTAGTAAAACTTCACGTCCAGGATTGTGATTACTCCTGCCTTGTTCTTATTGTTCAGGATTGCCTTTGCTGTTCTAGGTCTTTTCAGGTTCCACATGAATTTTAGAATTGTTTTGTTTTCTCTGTTTCTGTGAAGAATGCTATTGATATGTTGAGGGGAACTGCACTGAATCTATGTATCAATTTTGAAAGTATGGCCATTCTGGCTATGTTGGTTCTGTCGATCCAGGAACAAGGGAGATCTTTCCATTTTCTGACGTCCTCTTCAATTTCCTTTGTCAGAGTACTGTAGCTTTCTTTGTAGAGGTCTTTCACTTGGTTAGGTTAATTCCTATTTAACTTTAATTTTGGGGGGAGGGTCTTTTTTTTTTTTTTCTTCTGGTAGCAGGAATTGAACTCATGACCTCGTGCTTGCCAGGCAGGTGCTTTGCTGCTGAGCTAAATCCCCAGCCCCGGGGGAAGGGGGGACGGTCTTTTTTTGAGACAGGGTCTTGCTGTGTAATTTTTCTTGATGTTATTGTGTTTTTGTTTTTTTGGTTTTTGTTCCGGTACCCGGAATCGAACTCATGACCTCACGCTTGCCAGGCAGGCACTGTGCCACTGAGCTATACCTCCAGCCCTGGTCATAAATTTGTTGATATACTCTTGGCCATGGAAAGACTTTATTTCTCCATCAGTTCTGAAAGAAAGTGTTGGAAGTTGTTATCATATAGGGCTTGAAACACTTCACTCCATGCTCTTCTGGCCTTTGATTTTTGTG